GTTACTGCAGACCATCATATTGATCTCCGACCAATAGCCCAGGTAAATAGGGTGTCACATGTAGGGGTACAATTACCTGTGAAACTGACAGTTTTCTGTCTGATTATAAACACTTGGCTGAATTTTCCATGTGTAAGATTAATATTTCCTGCTTCTCTGTAGAAACCCTCCAATTGCATTTCATCATTTAGAGAGTGAGAGAGATGATGAAATGTCATTTCTGAGAGAAAAAGCAATCATACAGAGATACAGGAGTATTTCTTCAGAATATTTGTCCTTTCTCTCGGAGTTTTTGTGGAAGCGCAATTGTGGTCAAACTCTGACGACAATGAATGGATTTGGAGATGCTTGATGACGCCTTACGGTAGACAAGTTTCAGTTTCCTGTGGTACATCTATAATGCTAGACACAGGAAATGATTTCCAACAGATAATGCTTACCGGAAACCCTCACACTCGCACAAAAAAATGCAGACCACCAAAAAACTCGTCAGACTGCAGGCCTACCAGAAGGAAATAATTTTTTTCTCTTTTTACTAAATCTTCTTGTATAAAAATTTGTCATGGGAAATTTTCTTAGTCTCCTAGCTTCATTATGTTTGAACATTATCATCAACTATACACTATCAGACAAGGGAAAAATTAAAAGCTTTTGTTCTATTGCTCATAAACTTGAGCACATATTCTGTCTTGTCAATTAATCTATCTTCAGTTTCATATGGCCACTGTAATTGAAGAATATTTTGAATTCTCCTTTTTAGCCTCCAAAACATTTCATATATTAGATCTTGGTTTTTAATATAGAGCTTAAATGTTTTAGTTTTTCTAAAAAGTTTGTTGGACATATGGAAACAAAGAAAAAATAGCTTACAGAGCTAAATAGACTATATCATGATATTGTGAGTTCATTTGTTAAGTGGGACTCTTGGCAGTCATATTGCCTGGTAGCTGTTTATAATGTCTTTGTTTCTATTATTAGAATGATTGTTCAAGAATATCCTGAAACTCAATTGAAAAGTTAATACGTTTTAGTGGCAGACTTAGAAAATTTATGTTTAAATCTTCATGTTCTTTGCTGGTTGATCATAGAAAATCTACGATACTATAACCATTGATCAAACTTCTAGTGGCTTTTCAGGTAAATTGTAGCCGAGTTTCCGGATAAAGATTTCAAACGTCTGTGCCGGAACACTATCTGTGGTGTAGTATCTCAGTAATGAAGCCGGTCCTCAATGTCAATGAAATCTTTGTATCGCCAGCGTTATTTCGCGACAGAAAAAGACTAGGATTAGCGCTAGCCGTATAACCGACTGATGAGCGTCTGAGTTGTTTTAAAATGGCTTTCACATAAGATCAAGATCAGTAATGACAGACTGTTATTCTGGCTTAATTTATTAATTTTTAATTATGTTTCTGTGTTCTGGTGTTGTATAATGAAGGATCTCTAGCAACATAAGAAGAATACAAACCAAATTGTGACAAGATGTATTTACTAGATTTTAGTCTTAATAGTAATGCACTCAGGCACTCAGAGTCTGATGTTTAAAGATAGAGAGGGGATTAATCATATTAATGTATTGGGCTCAAGATCTTGTAATGATCAGAAAAAAAATTGTCTTTTGGTTGACTGACTGATGAAATTCAGATATAGGTACTAATAATGTCTTCTTACGATACGTACCACGTATACGTGGCTTGTGGCTGTTTTATGGTGCTGTTTGCTTTTGATGTGTTTTTTGAGCCACCTGTTTCGATATGAAAGCTGTTGCATACATTGTGTGTACAGTAATTGTTACATGCTATAGGGGCAGCATCATTAGCAGAATTTGTAAGGATTAGCAAGGGGTCATAAACTACAGCATACAGGTGACATTATTACTCATTCTTCCTTAAAATGGTGGGGGTGAATAGACTGACCGCATAAAATTTATTTATGTAGTATTTGGTTATTCTTATGCATTTGTATTTCTCTCCATGTGAAATAAAGCCTTTAAATTAAAAAATTTAAGCTAAATAAACTGACATTTTTTTGAAGTTTGATTTCAAATCTTAATGATTAAGTTTTTACAGAGTCTTTTAAGCAGAGACAATATAAATAGTCCCATGAATTGAAAGATGCAAGCATACTGTAAGGAAAAAAAATCGGTTTGTAGCGTATTGAATGAAAATTGCTTTTTTCGTTCTTTTAGAATGACTTCAAAGAATCTGTCCTTTTATGTGGTTTAATAAAAATACGCAGTTCATAAGGAAACTACTGGTAAATTACTAGGGGAAAAAACCTTAAGATTGTTTCTTTTGTACTTAGAAATCAGAAGTTATTAAAAACAACTTGTCAACAAACTAGAACAGAGTGAAAATTAAAATGAAAAAGCTAGAAGCTTAAAAAAGATGAATTATTGATGGAAATCAATAAATTGTGAAAAAATGACGGGAATTCTCTCCGTAGCAGATGCGATAGTTTAGGAGCTGGTACATCGGAGGCATGCTTTGTGTCAGGGTTTTGGCATTTGTTGTATCCTGATCATAATACACAGGGAAGTCTGCTCATTGATTTTGTAAGGAAGAGTGAACAGAAAGGCACCCCTGAGAATTCGTTTTTGTGCAATATTACTGATGATTGGATAGGAAATGTAGAAGTATCGTATTAAATCATCATCTACATGTATAATTATGCAATATCTGCAACAGGCTTACAAAAATGTTATGTATATTCTGAAGTCTTTCAAAAAACTCACAGTTGCAAATATTTTCATTAAGTTGTGAAACTGCTGAGTTTGAAGATTTTATCAATAAAATAAGTTTAGTTAGAGGTTTTACTAAGAAGCCATGTTCAAGAAATTATGGTTTTTTTGAAGTATTAAGTTTTTCAGAAACATACACTACAAATTCAAAAAAAAAAATTGAATGCTAAATATTCATTTGCACCAACACATCTAGTAAATTTTTCACAAATTTTATCAAATTTTAGGTGGAAAAGAAAGAGAAATATCAAGACCTATTTAAAAAAAAAAAGAAAAAAAGGGGGGGGGGGGCATCTATGAGACATTTAGTAATTTGATGTTTGATTTGGTGTAAATTATTGGGGGAAACATTTTTTATTGATATTCAACATTTATATAGAGCTCTCTGATTGGTTGCTCTAACGCTGACCATATTGTGTTTTATTGGAACCGATCATGTTCACCTGATGAAGATCTACACAAGAGATACGCTTTTTATATCGGACTATGAATAATAGATAGGGCATGCAATGGCACAAATGAGTTTAGGCATTGGCTATGTAAAATATCCATTTTGTTTTGGCAATTAGGGAGGTTGATTGAATTACAGTGCGTGTAATTCTATACAGGAATATAAATATGTAATGACATCGACAGCATTTGATTCTCCCCTCTGAATCTCGGCTGACATTTATCCAACCTTTTAACACAGCTCTGCAGACTGGACAATTTACATAGATGGATCACCACTAGGCCCGATCCACAATTAGATTTCACCCAGTCCCTTTGTCGAGTCTGTATTTGAATGCTTCCTTTTTTCGGCTTTGTCTTAATTTTCCTTTCGTCACGAGAAGTGACAGTCAGCTCCATACATGATTCCCGATTTTTCTGTAGAAGAGAAATTTTCTCCGATGTGGGCCCCATTAAAACATGGAACCAGAAACCTTAGAGCATTGTATTACATTCCTGCTGATGTTATGATGTCATTATTGATGATTTTAACAGGATAATGATATTTGATACATATTATTTATAAATGATTCTCTCTCAGTTTATGGGTCATTAAATGCTATCTTTCACTCTATTTCATGATTTACTTGGGAATGGACAATTAAGGTTGTTTTTTTTTTCGTTTCAGGAGATGAAGGTGAATTGGGCCACCTCCCCTAGTAACACCCCCAAACAAGACACAAGTAGTAAGTATGGAACAACAAAACTGCAATAATCCACAAAAAATAATATCATAAGTATAGAATCATCCACAAAAAATGATATCTCCAAAAAATCATATACAGTAGATCCAAGTCACCAAAGTGTTTGAAGTAGGATGAGTGGCTACCAATTGTTTTGTAGAACCAGTTAGTTAATGGTGAAGCTCTCAGACTCCGTACAAATGTTCTATCAGTTAACTAGAAAGTATAAAATTAGCTAACTGACATTTTAATTACTTTTTAAATAATTGCAATTAGTTAATATGTAACACCAGTTAACTGGCAAGTTAGTTAACTGTTAATACCACTCTAACTGTTCCTTCTAGAAATAATACCTCAAAAATATTTGATTTGTGGATTTCTTCATACCTTGAAAACTAGAAAATTAAATACCCATGAAAATAAGTGATTTTACAGTATACTTATTCTCCACTGTTGGTGCTATTCACTTGAACTATGATTTTTTTCCCCTTTTCCTCACCAGAGGGAAACAATTTGCATGGTATACAATACAATTTAAAATAAATATCCAAGGAAATGAAAGAGAATTAAAAAAAGAATAAATACCTATTAATTATTTATACCAAATAAGTATTCAAATAATCAAGCTGCTGCAGGTCTTTCTCATTAACAAAGAAAACATTTCTACAGCATTATTTATATATATTCTAAGTGATGAATTGATCCGTATTGCTCTGCTAACAAAATGACTTTTGACCATTTAGCGGTAATTATTTATTTAGCGAGATCATCGCCTGACTAAGGTTGATTGCTTCGATCACGCAGGATAAAGCGAATTTTAAATCTTGTGTAACTCTGTAATTGACCAAATAAGAAAGGATGCCATTTAAGGAAACCTTCAACTTTACAGATCATTAGTGAATTGGAAGTCAAGAAAACTAAAATTGTGAGCCATTTGAATTTTAGCTGTGATTAACATGATTAAGTTAAGATCTACCAAATGGAAAAATTCTAAAAGGATCTCTTCTTAACTGGAAATTCAGTGTTATTCTCCTCTAGATATTATTAAAAGTTTTTAAAGGAGAAAAATAAAAGGTTATGGAAAAAAAGTACTTAAATTGTTATGGATATGAGCACTTCCATTTCTTTTCATTCTCTTCACGGAGAGAGCCATTTGAAGGCCTTCCTTTGTAATGATTTCACATTGCCTCTCGATAGAGCCGGCACACACATTACAGAAGCTAAATCATTGTCTTCACTGAAATTTTCACATTAATTTTCCAAGATTTTATGACATTTCTAAATGGTGAAGCATTTTGATGCGTCTTTAATGTAGAGTTTGGTACTCATTAAAAGTGTAATTAGAAGTTGATGAATGCCTTTGGAGTACAAGATTTTAACATTAAAATGATGACATTCATAAAATTTTTCCTTTTTTTCAGAACATTTTCACATATTTGTTGGAGATTTGAGTCCAGATATAGAAACTTCACAGCTAAAGGAAGCTTTCCGAGTATTTGGTGAAATCTCGTGAGTATACACTCTGTGATTGTACAAAGCATACAATGACAGACAAACAGACAAAGTATACCCTGACAGACACACAGACAAAGCTTAGTTTCACTGTCCCCAGTAAAAGCATGGAATTTGTGGACCTACCAATACAGTCGGATTCACTACATTAGAACCTTGATTCATTATAACAATGAGCACTTGATGCCATGTCATTTGATTATAATTTTATGTGTATGCCTAAATATTCAAACTCTATCACCATAAGCAGAAATGCTTATGGCACAACAATTTGTTGCAACACTTATTAAGGAAATATTTTTAGTATTTTTGACATAAATTACAGTTTAATATCAGGCTTATAGGAACAATAGAGTGCAGATATTTTTCAGTTAAGGAAGAGAGTGATTTAAGATATTTTCAATTTCTTTACCAATTTGTTGTCTGACAAATTATACAATGAAATTTTTGAATGGGAGGATCAAGCGTTTTGTTGAGAACAACAAGTTTGCATCAGGGACTCCATTTAATACACATTAAAACATAGATGTAGCAAATATCATAATAAATTCACCCTTACAGTCAAGTGATTTTCATTCCTTGTACGTTTTATATCATTATGTGTTAAGGACTTAACAGAAATTAAAGAATTATGTTTATTTAGAAACAAAATTGGTTGTCCTTGGCACTTTACTTTGAGTGCACGTGTCTTACTGTACTAGTATCATAAAGTCTTGAGCTTCAAATTGTAGAAATATTCTTCACTAAGTGCTGTAATAACAGCAAGCTGTCTTTTTTTCTGACATATGAATTTTAAAATTCTGTGAAAAAAATCATTTATGAACAAAATGCAACAATATTTAAAAAGGAAAGCAGACCTTTTGAGGATCAACATAACTGTATAGCAAGTAAAACATATAATTTCTGCATCTTCTCTCTAGAACACCCACACACCCCACACCCCCACACCCAAATTAAAAAGAAAAAAGTACAAATGACTAAAGCAGAATAAGAAAATATTGAGTAAATGTAAAAACTTCCTGTCTGTTGGCTACTGTAATTTTTAGCAAAGGGAAATCATGTTTTTTTTTTCCTTTTTTTGATTTAATTGAAAATCTGTGCTTAGACAAAGGGACTTCTTCAAATTAAGACCACAGACCTAAGAGCCTCTCACTGCTTCTAAATGGTTAGTGTTGGAACTTTCTACTTCTCTAGTGGCCGAACCAGACATTTAAGTTAAATTATCTCACTGGGAATGTGCTGGGTTTTGTTTCTGAAACGAGAGGTCCCTGCATTGAAAAAGAAGCCTTATTATTTGAGATTGATGAAGAAATTGTCTCTAATATGTTTCTCTGCTTTAAATCATCTACAGCTTTGGGGAAAAAAACTTAATAAGTCGAACCAATTATGGCATGAAATATAAACTGACAGTCTTATTCATGATTTTTATCAAAAGATCTTATTAATGCACTGTAACAAGAAAATACCTGTGAAATAAAGTCCACATCATCACTGAATTGTAGTTGGTATGAATCTGTTCTCTAGTGAAATATTCTGTTAGAGGGTTAAATATTAATAACCATGTGATTAAAAGATCTGTGACCATTCTTAAAAGAAGAGGGTGTTTTACTTATATACAATCAAACATCTGCCCTCTCCACCTTTCTTAAAAAAAATCACTGTGTATGTGCAACCTGAACATCTCAGTGTGTGTGATGTTTGAAGTCTGGAATAAAAGAGCAATTTTATCCTTATTATTCATTCAGTGTTCTAAGATGATCAATAAAACAAAACAAAAACAACACTGAAATGCCTTCTGCCTAAGCTTGAAGTCGGAACTTATTGACAAATGATAATTATGATGAACTGTTTAATTAATATTCAGGTACCGAACCACAGCCAGGGAAGACCCAGATGTATGGCTTTTTTTTACTATAAATCCTTTTATTGATATTTTTAAAATAAATTTCTACAGTTTTTATACACTTTGTTGTTTATTTTCCTTCAGTATATTTTATAATTGTTTAACCAGTATACCCATTTTGATGTAGACTTTGTGACGTTCACAAAACACCGATTGCTCTTTTGCTAGTCGTAGACTATTTTGAATGTGTTTTGGAGGGAATATTTTACATTAACTTGATGTGGCATCAAGCAGATTTTGAGTCTGGTTTTTGTGTTGTTTATATTTTATTTCTATTCTTCTATTTAAAAAAATTAACAAAATTTGTATGTGATTTTCACCTTTACATATTATTTTTTTCAATTGATATTTTTTTTTAAGAAAGTTGTTCAAATACTTTTTAGCATGCTATTAAACAGAATGAGTATATTAAGTTGTGCTACCTAAAACACACAGATCTTATATGTTACAGTCTTTAAATACACAAAATTTTGTGAAATTGTTAAGTTTTTCTGTTTTATTTTTCATAATTTTCTTTACACTTTTGCATGGTTTTTCTATTAAAAGTTATAGTGAATTGCATGTTATTTTAATTAATTCTTGTTGATTCGTTGATTAATGCACACTTATTTATATAAATGATGTAGTGTTTTGTCCCATCTATAAAGGTACAAAATTATACAAGACTTCAATTACATTCTCACTTTTATTTCATAAGTACAGTTTTTACCGTTTTCAACACAGAGCTTGATATACAAGTGTAGAGAAATCATTTCCTTACTTGTCTGTTTTCTGTTCATGATCAGTTTGCAGCCTTTATTAATTTTTTTTTTCTTTGACATATACTAGTTGAATAGAGTTCTGCATTTCATCAATAGCAAAGCTTTTCATTTTTCTAATGAGATTTTTATTTTACTCTATACATCTCTTAACTTTTGGTTGCTTTTATTTCATTTTGCTTAAGTTTACTGCAGTGTAAACAAGACTCAGGATCTGCGTTATTCATGAATCGGGCTGATTTATTACACTTAAAGAAAATCTTATTACAGCTCATTTAGACGATTGAAAAGAAAATTTAGGATTTTATGATGAAATGTTGGGAAAATATTGAAATTCTGATAGATACTCAGCACGCAGGCAAACTAGGCTTACGAAGATTAAACTAAAATCCGCTTACACATTGAAATATATGACAGAGATCCGGGTTAATTCTCCAGAAAACCTATTTATAGAATTGTTATATCAGAGAACCTGTAGGAGTAGGGAAAGATTGAGGAAAATAAAAATTGCCAGGATAACGGAAATTAATTTCTATTTTTTTATTACGTTCCAGTTTTTTTAGCATGTGATTCTGGGGACAGGATGAAATCAAGGGAATATTTATCACTTGTTGTTGTCAATAAAAACAACCATAGATCTCCAGTATATAGGAAAATGACATGACTCCCAGCAGTGTAGAGCTGTAAATTAATTACTATGGTCAATATGGTAGGGAATTTCCAAAGAAACCAAATTATTTTTGCATAAACTGTCAATCCTATACTTAATTTCCTACTGTTTTACATAAAAATTACATCAGCCAACTCACATTTACCAGTAATAGGATATTTTTGTACATTTAGAAATTGACACTTTGGTGATATTTTGAATTCTTTATATTAAACCTTTACATTTTAGTCCATATAATTATTGTATATGAGAAAATATAACCACATGCACTAAGATTAAAGATTCCTGAAATTACAGTTCTAACATTGTATAATTAGATAATGTATTTTTAGTATGGCTGGTTATGCATAATCCCTTTTAAGTACAATTTATGAGATTCTTTCACACTTGGAAATTATCAGCTTGCTGTTATGTATTCTTAATTTTGAAACATGCTTTATGTCGGATTGAGTCTGTAATTTCTATTTACAGTGACTGTAAAATCATCCGAGATCCTCAAACGTTGAAATCCAAGGGCTATGGTTTTGTGTCGTACGTCAACAAAGTGGTAAGTCTAAGAGTTCTGGTTTTGTGTCGTATGTCAACAAAGTGGTAAGTCATAAGAGTTCTGGTTTTGTGTCGTATGTCAACAAAGTGGTAAGTCATAAGAGTTCTGGTTTTGTGTCGTATCCAAAGTGGTAAGTCAGTCCACTGCCAAAGTGGTAAGTCTGCAAAAAAGTGGTAAGTCATAAGAGTTCTCGTATGTCAACAAAGTGGTATAATTTTTTTGTGTCGTAAATATATAAGAGTTCTGGTTTTGTGTCGTATGTCAACAAAGTGGTAAGTTCTCATCCACAGTCCACTGCCAATTAAGCTGCAAAAATGTAGCCCTCTCCGATATAATTTTTTTCTTAAATATAGTTAGAGGGCTATATTATTGCATTAGGTTTTTAATTGTTCCAACCCAGGTTATACAAATATCATGGTTAATTTTAATTTTAGTTTTCTACTGTTCAAAGAAGAGAATGACATTAAAATGTACAACATTTAAGTTAAACAAAACATAAGGGGATAGGTACTATTAAAATTCAAGTTATATCAAAATTTCTGGCTTCACAGCTAAAACAATATGAACTCATTTTTCGCCAGTCAATAGTACCGTTTCAATCAGAACTTTATTATTAGAAATATCAATGTATTTTCATTGTCTTCAGTATGTAAGATATTCAAGTTTTTAAACAATAACTATCAGTGTCATTGAACTCGATGGCAGAATTACAGATTGAATGCGAAATGAAATTCATAAAAATAAAAGTTTTATCTGATTGAAATATTCCCATTGCCGCTGACAAAGAAATATATATAAAAGCATCACTATGGTACAGATGCTTTGTCTTCTTTAGGAGTTATAAGATCAATACCACAAACTTTTGTACAATTGTCTCGCTGAGGCAATATCCTGAGAAAAACCTTAAATTGTCTAATAGAAGTGAAATGAGAAGTGATTAGTTTATCAATCTAAGGTTATGTGGGCACGGATCAGCCTCTGCATTCTATGAGCCATGTGTACTTTGTTAGTGATTTGATTTTCGGCATTCTATGAGTCGTTTACATACTTTGTTAGTGGTTTGATTTTCAGCATTCCATGAGCGGTATATGTACTTTATTAGTGATTTGATCTTTGGCATTCTATGAGTCATATACATATTTTATTAGTGATTTCATCTTTGTCATTCTATGAGCTGTATATGTACTTTGTTAGTGATTAGATCTTCAGCATTCTATGAGTCGTATACATAATTTGTTAGTGGTTTGATCTTTGGCATTCAAAGAGCCGTATACATATTTTGTTAGTGATTTGATCATCCGTATACGTAATTTATTAGTGATTTGATCTTCGGCATTCAAAGAGCCGTATACATATTACTTTGTTAGTGATTAGATCTTCAGCATTCTATGAGTCGTATACATAATTTGTTAGTGGTTTGATCTTTGGCATTCAAAGAGCCGTATACGTACTTTGTTAGTGATTTGATCTATGAGCCGTATACGTAATTTATTAGTGATTTGATCTTCGGCATTCAAAGAGCCGTATACATATTACTTTGTTAGTGATTTGATCTTCGGCATTCTATGAGCCGTTTACATACTTTATTAGTGATTTTGATCCTTTTTGTTTGTTTATCAGGATGCAGAGACAGCCATTAGTAACATGAATGGACAGTGGCTGGGCAGTCGACCAATCAGAACTAACTGGGCCACTCGAAAACCTCCCGCCCCCGTGCCTAAAGAATGTAAGCTCGTAGTTCACTGTAACGTAGCAAATAAAACATCCATGTAGATATTGTAAGAATGTAAGCTCCTAGTACACTATAACCTAGAAAATAAAACATCCATGTAGATATTGTGATTTCAACATACAGAAAGTTTACATGTTCTTTACAACATTAATTAGTAGATTCTACCTTAGTGTGTCAAACTTGTGATTTATATTTGTAAGATATCATTTCTAACCTCAGCTGCCATACTATAAAGTAAAGATAAGTCACTCCCAACTTCTCAAACAATATACTGGTATACATGTATTAATATATGTACACAATCAAGACATGAATTTTACTCTGACTATGCAATTCTTATTTTTAGCCCAGATAAAGCAGCTGTCCTATGAAGAAGTCTACAGTTTATCCAGTTCCACTAACTGTACCGTGTACTGTGGGGGTATTGGACCCGGAGTCACAGGTCAGTAACAGGTCATTCTCAGGCTCTCATTGGTCATTAAAATCCTCACTCTCACACTCTCATTGGTCATTAAAGTACTCACTTTCAGACTCTCATTGGTTGTAAAATCCTCAATCTCTCATTGGTCATTAAAATCCTCACTCTCGCACTCTCATTGGTCATTAAAATACTCACTTTCAGACTCTCATTGGTTGTAAAATCCTCACTCTCATTGGTCATAAAATTCCTCACTTTCATGCTCTCATTGGTCTTAATGATTGGTTGATTCTTATAACATATACTTATTTTAAATTATTTCTACAATGTGTAGGAAAAAATAAGCTTATTCTGGATAACTTATGAGAAATAACTTTATTTTCAAATGAATGATACCGTAAATCTGGAAATTTTTACGTCGATTTTATTTTGCGAATTCGGGTCAAAATGGTGTTGATTAAATTTTACGTTTCAAAATTTTGGATTACCACTGCTTTGTTTACATTTTCTTATTGGTAATTTATTTTTAGGAAAAATATTTTTGCGAATGCAATGAACTTGCAAATTTGCTAAAAATTTATCTACAGCAAAAATTTCCAGATTTACGGTAGTTTTGTTAAATTTGTTTTAAGACTCAAAGTTTGGAAATATTTTTTTACTCAGAAGTTTGGGAGCAAGGAATTGTATGAATTGTGTATCAAAGCTTTTAAAAATTAACAAATATGGAATTTTTACGAAGATAAAATACGTACAGTAAAATGCAATAAAAGAGAAGTGCCCCGAATCAGTAATTCTTTGTTTTAAACTTAATTTTGATATATCCAACAAGTTATTAATACTTCTTTAAAACTACAGGGAATAATAATCAACTATCTGTAAGTGTGAATTCATTTTTAGTAGGTGCTATAACTGTTAATTACTGCATGTTTTTGTATCTGTCCCCAATACTGTGTTTGGAATATGGGTGTTCTCATCCATTGAGGTTTTTCCATGCTTTATATTACAGAAGAAGCAATAAAGAGTGCGTTTAACACCTATGGGACAATTCAAGAAATCCGAGTGTTCAAGGAAAAGGGATATGCATTTATCAGGTAAGAGTTTTAACAGGTCCTTTGGCAAGAGGATGGGATTTAAGATTGTCTTGGGACAAGTGTTAGAACATCACTTACTGTATTGTGTTTAATTTGAGTTATCTGGTGACGGGTTTTCTCACCAAAAAATGTGTGTCAGTGGGGAAAAAAGAACATTAGGAACAGGAGGATGATTGCCTGCCAAATGGTAATTTTACCCAAAGAATATTTTTAGAAAACAAATGAAATTTTAATGTAGGACAAACATTTTCTGAAAGGCTACGTTAAACACTGTATGAAAATGATGGTACATGTACTATGTTGAATCGTGTGAATAACCGCTGATGTTTTTTTTCTAAAATCATTTCTTCATTGTCTTTTTCTTCAAAGTCTAACCAACAATAAACAAACAGAAATCAATTCTTTGTACGCAGTGAAATCAATGATGATAGAATAGTTCCGTTGATAGATTCTAGTACAAAGGTGTCAAATATTTTAATTAGTTTAATCTGGGGATAGATTGTTTGAAAGTTCTTGCCTATCACAAAGGGTAGTTCTAAGCAACCATTGATCTTTCCTGATTAATTCCTGCCATCATCACAGACAGGACTATCACAGAAAATCCTATTGAAAATTCTGAAGAATTTTTAATGAGTGAAGGTATTTGGCTGTTGGAGATCTTTATCAGATTTTCAGTTCGTTTCCCTGTTATTAAATCTTTCCATAGAATCACGCAGTTAGGGTACTAAAAGATGACTGTGTTTTACTTTTGGGTAATAATCTCAATTTGCTGAAGTCAAGCAGCAAGATAAATGAATGTCAGCTGCAAATGATGCTGCAGTACAGGAAAGGTACTCTGGTACTTAATAATACATGAAATAGAGAGATAACGAACAGAATCAAGTTCAAAAGTCCATTGAAAATATACAAATCAGGATCAGAGCAATGACAAACCTCTAATTTAGCATAAGTGGTGGGATCAGGTGCCATGGAGGAGTAAGCATCCCCAATGTCTTCTTATCAACAAAGAGGTGAACTTAAAAAAGTTAAAAAAGAAAACAATCAACTTTTTAACACTTATTCTACATGAATGTTTGACGACGTCCACTTTCTATTCACAGTTTTCTTTGCTTCTATTTTTAGATTTTCAAATAAAGAGTCAGCTACAAAGGCTATTTGTGGAGTAAACGGAACAGTGATCGGAGAGAACATGGTCAAGTGTTCGTGGGGGAAGGAGTCTAATGACCCTAACCAGTCAGGGGGAGGGGCAGGTTCCCCCTCTCAAATGGTAGGTAACCCCCCCACCCTCCCACACACACTCACAATAATATACATCTAGTTTGCAATGCAGTTTTAAACCATGCAGAATTAAATTCACTGTAATCTTGATTCATAGTGAGCCTGATTTGTATATGTTTTGTATGTACAGTGTGTGATGTTAACCTGTTGTTTTTCAGTCTCAGTCTGGGTCCCAGGGCCCCTCCCAGTATGGGGGTCAGTATTACAACATGGGCTACGGTTATCAGCCCGCCTACCCCTCCTACATGCCCCAGCAGCAGTATATGCCCCAGGGCTATGGCTACGGCAACAGCGGGTATCAGATGCAGGGGTGAGGACTTCAATTTTATTTATACAAAATTTTATTCACAAATAAGAGTGAATGGGAGTGGGCAGGAGACAAAGCCTAATTTAGCCCTCTCCCTAGGGGGAAGTACTTATAATATGTCAGATAGAGTTTGTCACTTCAGAGTTAAGTATCAAACAGAATCATTATTTGTTTATCAGAAAACTTTTACATGTAATTACATCCAGGTTCAAGACTTCTGCTGGACATATCAATGAAGTTTACCAATCTCTTTCATTTACTATCTTTCCAATGATTTTGCACTTTGTATGCAATTTGATTAGAGTTGGAGAAAGTGATTCATATATTCTTTGTTTTGTAGAATGCAGCCTTATGGAATGGTTCCACCAGGAACACAGCAGCAGTTTCCTGGTCAGGGAGGCATGATGGGATATCCCATGCAGCAAGGTAAAAATGGCTGCTTGCTGTGTTTTTGCATGTCTCCTTAGTCACTGGGTTTGGCTAGATTGTCCAATAAACACATCAAAAGTTGCTTGAGAGGAATTTTCTATCAAAAGTGTAAAAAAAAAAAGAAAGTCCATTAAAGGAAACAAAAGTAATACAAGTCACAAGCAAAATATTTGATTTTTGTTTTTAAGAAAATTCCTTTCATTAACTTTGTACTCGGATTTCTATGAATTATTTAGTGTTCATTAATCAAGAATTCTAATTTCCTTTATTTTTTCACAAATAATTGCAGAAACATAAAGTGTGTAGTAAATATTTTATTTCTATCTATTTGAACAATCTAGTTTCTTTCTTTGTTATTGAATAATGATTTTTAAATTTTGCCTTTCTTTTTTTAACATAATTTTCTTTTAAATTTTTTAAATTTGGTTGCAGGGTAAATAGCTTTGTAAATTCTTTTTTTCTCTTAATTCAAAGCTGCACACAGATTTCCACATTTTCAAAATTAATTATGGATTTTAGAAAAATTTTAAAAATGATATCAATAATAATGATTTTTCTCTCTACTTTGAATTTTTATTAAGAAAGAAGGAAAAACCTCAAAAGTAGAATACAACAATCAAAGCCACAACAGACTATACTCTAAAAATAAATATATATGTATATTTTGGAAAACTTAGAAATTGTCAAAAATACAACCGAGTACTTATTCTTATTCATAAGTTCACCTTTGGAGCTTGTAAATAAAAATGAATATATCATTAGAACTTACAATCTAGAAAACTTTAACCTTTTCTTTATGAACGTAAGTTAACAAAGTATGCTGTGGTTCGATGGTTGTATGGTACTTATATATACTTATATATATATACTTATATATAAGGGGCATGAATGATTGTGTGTACTACCCTCTCACAGTATAATGGATTGATGTTTGCTGTTAGTATATTAACACTGGGCGACCACTTCAACACAACAGCTTTCAAAAGGGGGGAAGCAGGGGAATTTAGCAGCGACTTAGTAACAGTGGGGAAACTAGAGAATATAGGAACGGCTAAGACACAGTGGGGACACAAACGAATTAAGCAACGATGTACAAAAGTGGGAAAATTAGAGAATTTAGAGACAGCGAAGATATGGTGGGGAATCAGTGAATATAGTATCAGTTAATCATCAGTGGGGAGACTAGAGAATTTAGCAATGACTAATAAAGAGTAGGGAAACTAGAGAATTTAGGAACAGCTTAGATGTAGTGGGGAGACTAAAGAATTTAGCAACAATTAAGACATAGTGGGGGAACCAGAGAATTAAGCAATGACTAATAAAGAGAGGGGAAACTAGAGAATTGAGAAACAGCTTAGACATAGTGAGAAAACTAGAGAATTTAGCAATGACTAACAAAAAGTTGGAAAACTAGAGAATTTTACAACAGCTTAATGAAGTGGGGAAACCAGAGAATTTAGCAATGACTTACAAACAGTGGGGGAACTAGAGAACTTAACAACAGCCAAGTAACAGTGGGGAAACCAGAGAATTTAGAATCAGCTTAGTGAAGTGGCTTTCAATAGGAAAGCAGTATTTAATTCAGTAGGGTTGTAGCTTTGGATATAGAGACTTGGATAGTATGTAGCTCAGGAGGACAGCTCTTGAGTATCTGGGGATAAAAAACTTGTAGTTTTGTGGTTAGGGATAGGAGGGACACACCTAAAGGGTGTTAAGAAAGTTTGTTCCACATTTTTCTTTTATTCTCCAAAAGAAATACGATGAGAAGATATTTACAGTTTGTGATATTTCATGTTCAAAGAGTCCATTCTTGCTATTGATATGGTTTGAACTGTCTTTTGTTGAATCAATAAGGGGAGGGCAGGTATTAAAACAGATGATGTCTGTTTAGAAAAAATAGGGATGACGCATATTTGTGACATATAATAAGCACACAGGTCAAAACATCCTTTCAAATACTATGCAAAAATTATCAAATCTGGGAAAATTTTCAAAATTATGACAAACCTATTCTTTTGAAAAGTGATCTTTCGTTCTTATACATAAGTTCATCAGCTTGTCTGATGCAAGATAAGCTATGAAGAAACAAAAGTAATTTATCCTTTATTTTTACTCAAAATGACCAGCATGTTTATCATTCGTGTGCTTTAAAGATGTTGCATATATTTTCATTTGGAAGAGAAATCCTATAATTTCCTGCTAGAAATGAATTGCTATTAATCTAACGCACACTACTCACACTCTTGTGATTTGTCAGACTTGAAAATCTATCGCTTTAGTTAAGCAATATTTTGAAATTTTTGAAAATATTTCATCATGGAACGAACTTTCTTAACACCCCTTAGATTATGTATTAAGCATGAGATAGAGGGGTATTCCATTAGGAAATTTTTGGCTTGGGATAGGGGGACAGTCCTTTAGGGGGTAGGAGGACAGTCCTTTTGTAGGTTTGTAGCTTGGGGTAGTGGGGATTCTGTGTTCTGTTGTGACTGAGTTGTGGTCGCCCTCGGCTATTTAATTCCGTGTGTCTCCTATGTAGGATTGGGTAGCGTGATGGCATTAAGTTATGTCAAGTCCAGCCCCTGAACACCCAGCGACATGCCAGGGGTGAGTTGGTCTAACATTTCAACCAACTTTTTTCAAATTTGAATTGCCATTTTTTCAATCTTTTAAAATTTTTCTCTTTTTTATAAATTTTTTACATTTTAATTCAGCCTATTTCTCTGGATGTTTTATTTTAGGAATTTGGTCAAAAAAGAGGAAAATTTATACAAAATATTGAAAAATATGTTCAGTGACGTCTCTCAAGTTAAATGAGTATTTGATATTTACCAAGAAATCTTATCTGATAGACCTGTTTATGACAACAGGAAATTATTTCTTATTCTCAAAATAATTTAAAATTATTATAATATTGTACTTTGACATATTTTATAGTGTAAAGAATGCTGAAATTGTCCAAAAAGTTTAACACTTTACTATGTTCTGAACTACTGAAATGGTAATAGCCTTAAAAACAGTACTGTTAGGATCAGTAGCCAGAGAAATAGTGATTAGATTAGTCATCGTGTCTTCACAGTCTAGTGCTTTAGAATATATTTATATATAGAATGTACTCAGCTTTCCAATAGCATGCATCCTTTAATCAATAAAAATATATACAATGTGAATGTTAATTTGATGGATTATATGTTTAACCAACTCATCCAGTGATATTATATTGTTTTATGTTTGAGAACAATGTGTGTTTTGAAGATGAAGGTTATGTATTGCTATCTTCGTGTCACTTTCTAGTCTGGTGAGCTCAAGTCAAGAAATAGTACTGTTTACTGCAAAGTTTTTGTACTTTGACTCTCATCAGAACAATTTCAAGACCAAAAACAAACAATTAATAAAAGAATAGTACCAACATAATTATAAAATGAAGGACAGTTATTAGGGGGCCCTGATGTTTGTTTTGAATTTGAACCCCTGATTTTGGTAGAGCACTTGGGCTTTTTTTCATGGGTGGGAATCTGCAGTAAGAAGATGAGAATAAAATTGGTCTTAGGGGTAATTGTATTAGTTTACAATTAGGAGGAACAATTATTATTTTGTGGACATTGTGCTTTGGGGACACATTGGGATTGATTTAGACAGGGGAGGGTGTAGAGGGGTTGATCAGAGAAGAAGCTGGATGTGATTGGGAAAATCCATGTACCAGCTGCACACAGGAATTAAACTCTATTGGAATTTCCTCGGGGAAATAACGAAACTTTTGCCAGAAAAGGCAAATTGTGATGTAATTGGGTTAGAAAAGTCTGTGACACTAATGTGAAAAGATGGGTGATGAAAGTAACACTAAAATAAAGAATTATAAGGGACTCAAGACAGTATATCATTGAAATTATACCTCTATATTACGATCCAACTCATGGCACTTTTCTGATGAAATTTGACTGTCAGCTGTTTTATTAAAAAATAAATACTTAAATCAGTAATTAGAATGGATGCCCAGAATTGAATTTAATTGAAACATATATGTATATATAGAGAGAAAATAAAAGGAAACTTCTGTCTAAGATGACTAAGTTTTGAATGGAGCTTATCATGTAGGATTGATCTTGACTTTTGTAAACATGACAAGTTAAAGCTGGTTCATAACAAAAAAAAATGTATGAATTCATTTTAAAAATTGCTAGCATTTTTTTTTTGTGCTAATTTGAGGGGTTGAACATTGATTTCCTATTGACAGATGTTTATGGTGTACGAATGATAGTTAGAAATATGGATAACATTTTACCATGAGAAAGTGTTTACAAGTGTTTTTGGTCATTTACCAGTTTGCTGGTACTTTTTACAGTCATGCTCTCTCTGTATGATTCATATTCTGTGTAGACCAATCACAATTTTTCTCTCATAGCAATGCATATTACATGTTTCTCAATTTGATTTTGTAGAGTGAAAGTTTGATGGAGAAAGCCAGCGGAATATCATTGAGTAAGTTTTCTGTACATTGTTGTACCGTAATAAAGTCATTCAACAAAATTATTTCTACTCTAGGATAACAAAGAATTTAGAAACTTTACAATATTTGTCACTTTAAAATTTCGAAATAGTCCTAATATTTTTTGCTTAATGGGTTCTAAAAAATTTTTAGATGTGAAAAAGTGTACTGACAAATGTTTCTCAAGAAAATAGCCACCAAGTCATTTTTAGGGTATTGTTTTAATTAATGCGAATCAGACATTATGCAGTATATATTTTATTTTACAAAATGAGTTAGTTTTGTTGTTAATATTGATTGATACATTTTTTTTAATTAAAGTTCTGTTTCTGTTTCCTAGGACCTAGCAAGCTCCAAACATCTTTGGCTGTTAGAACAGTTTTATTTGTAAGAATGTGATTGGTGCATTCCTGGTTTCCATGGAGATGGACACCTTCTCTGTAGAAAATCATTTAAATGATGAAAATAATTGTACAGATATAATTATGTACTTGTAAATATTTGATAGTGGATGGAGTCTACAAAAGCTAGACCTAGATCATTGTCTGTTCTTTTATCTGGGTCACACCCAATTTGCTCATGTTGAGGAAATGGAGTTAAATCTCATGGTGGCCATTTTTTACAGACATACAACGAAAAAGATTCAATCTGTATCTGTTCTTGCTAGACGTGTTAATTATAGACAATTTAGGAGGGATATTGTGGGTACATGTGCACCTAAACAGACAAATTTTACAAGCACTCAAGCTTGGTTCTCCATTGATTAGAGTTTATTTACTCCTTGGCATTGTGTTAAATTATATAATGTTGATCTTAAGTTATTTTCTTTTCTTGTAATACATGTACTATTTAAAATTGTCAATTTTCTTTAAGTTTTTTTCTAGAATTATCCTGAAGATGTGTATTTTGTATTTCAATTTAAAACTTATTTTTAGTTGCTAAATTTAGGACTTGATGAATAATTTAACGCAAAATTGTCATTGATTGAGAATGAACATAAATTATTTTGAAAGAAAACATTTATATTTTATTAGACTTATGTAAATGAATTCAGAATTTTAGACCTGTTCAATCTACTGTTTTTAATGTGGTCCCAAGACTAAAACAGTTTTATTTATTGTCTCACTGCAATTTCGCTGTGTTCAGTCTAGAATTTTTTTTTTGTTAGAAATTTTAATTTTCCTTGATAAGAAATATATTTTAGAAACTAAGCTTTTGTTGTGTAATTTCATTGAGAAATTGGATGAATGTTATTTTTGTTAGAAAAAAAAATTAAGTAGAAAATATATTTGTTAGTGCCAACTGAAACTTTTGACCTCTCGTTTTGTATAGTTAGATAATTTAAACCCTGTTATCAGAACTCTGGTAGATATATGTTCAGCTATTGGATTATTTGAGGCGAGTAATTGCATTCCAGTTTTTTTTTTCCAGTGAAAACCGAAAGAATGATTGTGTAAACATGTCTCAATTAGGTAAACCCCTCTAAATGGGGAGGAAAGTAGTGTCTTTTATGTTATATGGCTGTGGAGGGTAATTCAGGCCTTGTAAATAGTAATCATCATTTTTAGCTTGTGAATTCTCGTAGTTTTGACAGAGAAGAGTTTGTGTCCATTCTCGTGCTGATCTTAGGATCCTCCATTATGTCATGTACCTGTCACCGTGTCCTGGAGTAGAGTATCATCATGTTAAGAATATTATTGTAATTATTCTTTACTTGTCCATTGTATATTTTGTGTAATGATAATTTATTAAGCTGTTAGAAATATACCAGCGTCAGGAATCACTGCTTGTTATTACATCTCCAGAGTTGTGGTCACCCTATCCATATGTCTATCAGATATATATACCATGCAATAAGAAGTTGGACTATGATCATTTTGAATGTTTTAGGTTTTGAAATGTTACAAAAATTTATATTTTTATACAGCATTTCAGGCAGAAATACATTGATTTTTTTAATAGAAGGATATTGATTTTATTTGTTTTGTGAAATGGTTAATACTGAGAGCTGTGTTTGCAGTCCATAGGAGAAAGACCATCATATCTGGTGGTGTACCATACATAGAAAGTCATACATTATTGTATATATTGTATTTATTTAAGACTGAACCATCTTATAAACTGACAGATCAGTGTCAGTCAGATGCCTTAAGCTTTTACCATAATTGTCCATGGATGTAAACACAGCTGCATACATCATCTTGTCTTGTCATGTGACCTGCTGTAATCATCATGCCATGAATAAAAACATCCATCATCTAGACTGACTTGGTTGTTGTTTGTTTCCTTATAAATAGAAAGTGAGTGAGTATGTTGATCTAGAGTTATCTACTAATGTGAAGAAAATGAAACGAGATATGTTTGAGTCACAAGGCAGTAGTTCTGTTAAAATCTGTTATCTAGAATTTTTTGCAAGAACTGTGTATGCTCTTACGAGCTTGCCTAAACTTGGACAACTTGGTAAGTTTGACAAATCCCATTTTGCCGATAAAAATATGTGGTTCTACATCACAATCCTTGTGATTCAATAGCAATTTTATCTAAGTGATAATTTATACATTATTTACATCCACTAAATATCTTTATTTGAAATTGGTGTATATATATATACTGTATATATTAACATTGTAAAGCAAGCCAACTGTAAAGAATTCTGGAGCAGTGATGCTTCAATTAAACATACAATGATGTACATATAATTAAAAACAATCATATTTTATTTTGGTTACAAAGACATAAAAACTCTTTTGTTAATAAGGGAATTTACGTTGCAGCTATTGCAGGAAAAATAAAATAATAGCCTGCTTATATCGAGTGTTTACTTTTCTACAAAAGCAACATTATTATATATGCGAAAAATAAAAAAAAAATCAATTTTTTATTGTTCAAGTGAATACATGAAGGATGTGATTAGTTGCCACGGAGGAGTGAACATTCCTTGCCGACTGGTCATACCCGCCGTGTACTCCTTTTCATGATCGGAAAATAACAGAAAAATCTGTCGATAATTCAATTTGTAAATAATGGTCTAAATATTAGTATCAACAATTTCGTTTGATTATCAGTCAGTTTTGAATATTTTTAATATTCCAAAGAACCAAAATGAATTTGAACTACCATATATATATATACATTGGGTTCCGAAACTTCATAAGAATTCTTACAATGAAGGATATGGAGAAAACGAACAGTATTCAATATCAAAGTCCATAGAAAAATAAAAAATAGGAGCAGAGCAAACACGGACTTCCAAAACATCGGAGGTGGGATCAAATGCCATGGAGGAGTGAGCATCCCCTGCCGACTAGTCTTTGTCATGATCGGAAAATAACGAAAAATTCCGTCGTCAATTCAGTGTATAAATAATGGACTAACAATTCGTATGAAAAACGTCAGTCAGCATTTGACTCAGTGATAAATTTCATTTGCTGACAAGCTCGTTGTATCGACCATATACCGTATATACTCGCCTATAAGTCGGATTTTTGGGAGTTAATTTACTCATGTCCGAATAGGCGAGCTATAAAATGAATGGTATTATGTGAGGTCAGTGTCTATGATATAAGCTTATTTTATACAACCGACTTATAGGCGGACCGACTTATAGGCGAGTATATACGGTAACTTACAAAATAATGACTTTAAATGTGACTGCCTATATTCCTGTTTCATGAACTTGTTTGTCAATGATTTACCTCGTTTTAGAAATTGTTCATACGTAGAGCATGCTCTTGCGTATCGCATCAACTCAGATATATAAACTCCGTATGCAGGTGATGAAGGTATATTGCTGCAAAAGTAAGGGAAGTTGACTTTAGAAAAGTTGAAGTCAGGTGAGGAAGGTATAATGCTGCATAAATACGTGAAGTTGACGATTGAAAAATTAAAGTTGTCACGTTTATCATAGAGCTTGGTTGTTATATTGCCATTAATGTCCTTTTCAAGTAAAATATCCAAATATGAAACAGATTTGTAAAACTCTGTAATATCTTTTATCTCAAGCTCACTGGGATATATCGTATAGATATAGGAATGGACAATTACCATTGTTCATTGACAATACGTCGTTGAAATATCTAAAAGTCGAGTTGAAGGCCACAGCAAGTTTTTCTTCTTTTCAAGCATAAGATTTTGCACAAATTCTGCTTCATGTGAATAAAAAATAGGTCTGTTAATAAGGGAGCGCAATAGGTACCCATGGGAATTCCAATAGATTGTTAGAAGACCTGGTCTCCAAAAACAATATAGATATTGTCAATCAAAAACTCAAGCATCTTTTTGATGTCAACTTCAGAGTACTTGTGTGTGCAATCAGAATGTGTTTTAACATAATGATTTTGCAAATGACCAGTGATCAGGTAAATAAATATACGAGTTCCATTTTTTTTTAAAAAGCAGCTGTCAACGATATCAAAAAGCTTGGACTTCAATTTATCGTTGGGAATGGTTGTGTATAAAGTCGAAAAGTCGTAAGTTTTTAAGCTAGAATCTTGTGATTTCAAATTGTCCAAAAGTTCCTTGGAATTTTTGAGTATCCACATCTGATTGATCACGCTACTTCTTGAATATACAGCTCAACGCACTTTTTAAGCTCACATGGTTTTTCGCACAAATTAAGGTCACATTGTTGTAATAAAAATTACCATTTTCGAACTGCAGTACAATGAATAACCCTACGTTACATTACATTTATAATTTTCAATCATAGATGTCTTTTAAAATTATTATCTTAAGTTTCCAAAATGGATGTTTTAAGGGGAATTTATATGTAAATGGTACGATGTTTCGACTATACGATTCTGCCATAGGTTTTTTTAACAATTGTATAAAACGAGCTTTCCTTGATATCATGTAGTTGAAATTTTTAAATTTTATTCTTAAAGGTAATTAGTTTTTAAAATTCTTTGTTCATTTACCATACTCCTAATGGTTTCGTCGAAATTAAGCGCCGAAAAGGGATAACACTGCAAAAGGAAACCACACTGAAGGGTAGGATAATGAAGTATTGTTTATTTTTTTGAAATAGTAAATTCCTTATATGAAAAGGAAAATTCCTCTACATTTACGGTCTGAATGGTTAGAATATTGCAGTGGGATGAATCTTTCATGAGTCCAGAATTTAGAAGTTGACTCTGAAAAATCCCACCTTATTAACATACAAAGCAGTCAAACAGATGAAAAATACTAATATCACCCCGAGCTAAAGAGTCAAAATGTACAGAAAATACAAGTTTCAGTAGCTAAACTGTGCCCATGTCTACGTTTCTGCAAAGAGCTATAGCTTTCAAAAGAACGGGTAAAAAGACAATTGCAATTGGCAAGAAACCACAAAAATTCAAATGAGAGTAGTTGTTATTTTTCAGCCATGAAAATATCAAAGTTCTACCAATTGATATGTGTGAATTATGTTTTAGTAAATGAAATACCTCCGGTAAAACTCAAATAATTTAAACAAATACTTTTAAAATGTATTTTGATGCCTCGATACACAATATTACATCATAACAATGTGACCTTAATTTGTGCGAAAAACCATGTGACCTTAAAAAGTTTGTTGAGCTGTATTGTTGCACAGTACTCTTGAAGTTTTTCCTTCACTGCTGTCAATATCTCAGTGAGGAGTAAAGAAAAAAAAGCTTGGTTGAACATTTACTGGAACCCGCAATGAATCTTTGTTTGTAAGAATTCTTATGAAGTTTCGGAATCCAATATATATATATATATATATATATATATATATATATATATATATATATATATATATATATATATATATATATATATATATGGTAGTTCAAATTCATTCTGGTTCTTCTGTATATTAAAAATATCCAAAACTGACATATAATTTTGAAGAATTTCTTCCTTAGAAAGGGAACTAGGACTATAAGTTGGTTTACTACTTGAGGAATTAAATCCAAGTTATTCTAAAATATAATTTATATAATGCGCCTTACAAAGAAAGATATATATGGAGATAACGAACAGTATATTCAATATCAAAGTCCATAGAACAATACAAAAGAAGAACAGAGCAAACAGGGACCTCCAAAACATCAGAGGTGGGATCAGGTGCCATGGAGGAGTGAGCATCCCCTGCCGACCGGTCACACCCACCTTGTGCTCCTTGTCATGATCGTGAAATAACGGAAAAATCCGTCGTTAGTTCAGTGTATAAATAATGAACTAACAATTAGTATGAAAAACGCCGGTCAGCATTTGACTCAATGATAAATTGTATTTGCTGAAGACAATGTTGTTACCTGCTTTGTCAGCAGGGACCAGTACGTACTGATCATGTAATTCATCTAATTCTTTTTTCACTTCTGGATTATTGAATACAGAAGGATATATGGTTTTCCCAGTGCCCCTCAAACTTATAATACGCGATTTCAACATGGATCTGATACATTTAATCCATTCTGACAAAGTGTCAACGTCTTCTTTTTCATATCTGGCCCATCGTCTGGCGTAATCTTCAACAGAATCCATAATATTTATGAAATTCCGACACCAGTTGAAGGATTGGGGTTCCCTATAATTAGGACCTTTTAATATAAGTGATCTAAGGTCCTCATTATGAACTACCGTATATTCACGTCACCTGTAATAACGTGTCCAGCAGGACTATAGTTATAGGGAAAAGAAGAACACATAAACACGGTGGAGGACTATGTTTCAGATACTGGGTATCCAGGCTATGTAAAGTGTTTTTGTAATTGAAAAGTTTGGAAGCAATTGTCGATGTATATTTGTAGGAAATGCAAGGTGAAGTCTTCAACTTAAAATATGATGGAATACAAGACTGGACGTTTTTTGTGATTAAGAATATTACTTATATTAACCGCGTCAATTCCTTTATTGGCATATTGAAGTTTAAGGAAAAGACGGATTTTTAGCTGCATTTTTTTCAGTAAAACGTGCGGGTTTTAAAAGCCTATGATTTGCAATATCCATAATTACAGATCCGAGATTACAAACAAAGACTCATAGCGGGTTCCAGTAAATGTTCGACCAAGCCTCCTTCTTTACTCCTCACTATTGAGGAGATATTCAGATATTGACTGCAGTGAAGGAGAAAATTCAAGAGTACTGTGCAACAATATATTCAAGAAGTTATGTAAATCAGATGTGGATATTTAAAAATTCCAAGGAAATTTTGGACAATTTGAAATCTAAAGATTTAACCAAAATCAACAGCTTAAAAACTGACTTTATACACAACTATTCCCCACGATAAATTAAAGTCCAGGCTTTTTGATATCATTGACAGCTGCTTCTTCAATAAAAATGGAATTCGTAAAATTTACTTACCTGGTCATTGGACATTTGCAAAATTATTTTGTTAAAACACATTCTGATTCCACACACAAGTACTCTGAAGTTGACATCAAAAAGATGCTTGAGTTTTTGATTGACAAAAACTGTCGTTTTTGGAGACAGGTCTTCCAACAATTTAT